TACAAAGCGCATTCTGATTCCTTATAGGAGTTATTCTAATCATGCAGCTTTTGTAGTATCTTTTACTGGTCATCGTAGATATAAGATATACAAAAAAAAAAAAAGCTCCACTTTTATCTTCCCCCTCATGCCTATATTTCTATGCACATTTACATACATTATAGAATGTGTGACTCTATAACAAAGGCTCTTAGCTTGAATTCACATTGCTGCCAGTTGTGAAGAATGTTGTCTCATGATTTTGGAGGGTAAAATGTAGATGTATCTCTTTGGGTTTGGCTGTGGGGTTTTATTTTATTGAAATTCCTGCTCAAAATGCCAAATAAGCTGTTATATATGAGCAAGAATGATAAGTTAGTTCTCTTTGTTTGCTTTTCAATCTCTACGCCTTCCACTCCCCATCTTCTTGTAAAAATCACACTAGTTTCAAAATTAAGGCAGTTGAAGTACGCCTCAGCATTTCACCCTTTATTATGTCTCTGTTTACCACAAGAGTCGAGGACATGTGTATGCTTGCATGTATAGATCTGCCGGAGTCTTCAGCACATACAGAGTGCTGAAAATTCATAACTTCATAACAACATGAATAACTCACGCTGCTGAACTGGGGAGTCAAGTTCAGCTGGAGTCAAGACTCACTGCTTCTCTTCGAGCAGCAAAGCCTCCCCATACGCCTGCCTGCTCCGCTCCGCACGGCTCTGGACTGCTCCACACTTCCCACCGGGAGCAATTTAGGGCTCTGCCAACAGGCCACCTGATAGCGGTGCTGCTGCCAAGCAGGACAGCGCACGCATGCAAACTGGCCTGGATGCTAGAAATGTCCCATTTGGAGAAGCTGAAATTTAATTTTCAGGAATATCATTAGGTTTGATGATGGTATGGTGGTCATTATTCTGCCGTTACTTTATGTCAAGTAAATGAATAGAATAACATAATGATCCTTTTGCTCAAAGGATCCAGCTTCCTCTGGTAATGGCAGAATACAGATAAAGGTGGCTAAACAGATTAACTGCTAAATGCTGAATAAAATAATGTTTATTTTTTTTAAAATTAGTAGGAACAGGGTGTTCTAAGCCATCATGTTGTGAGAGATTTGCTGTAGCTTTCAAAGGTATATACCTCCTTTAAAAAAAAAAAAAAAACAACAGGAATAAACTAAGTCTTTTGGATAATGCAAAAAGACTATTCCTCCAAAAATAATTGTGTCCATTTCTGATTTCATGTTCAATATCCCTGTGATCAGAAACTTAAGCCACCAGCAGTAATTGGCTGATTCCACACGCTTTTATTTGGCTCGGTTTGTCTGTTTTTCCGCAGTGTTTTGCGCTTTGCTGCTTGCGGAAGTGTGGCACTGCATTTCAGCTATGACAAAGGCAAGAGGGAGGCTAATCTTTTCTGTTACAGCCAGGTAAGGTCTAATTCCTCGTGTAATTCTTTTTTTTTTTTTTAATTGCACAAATCCAATATTAGGAAAATAAACTGCAAAAATTAAACACATTTTTTGCTCATAAAAAAGTAATAATTGATGGAGATGATGGCTCTTTTCTTCTTAATAACTGTATATCTGAGAAAAAAATACAGGGTTGTGTTTTCCAGCCTTCCTACTAACTATTATCACCTTTCAGAAAGTAACTAAGCTTTTAAAATTAAAACATAACAGTGATTTTTTACCCTTCCTGGGTCGCCTAAGTGTTTCTACATTTGAAATATATTAAAAAAACAACTTGCAAAACATTCCAGTTTGCGCCTACTTTAGTTGTCCCTACTCACCGTAAATCATCTGGGAAAATTGTCTCTGCTATGGTTCAGGTGCTCTGGACATAATAATGACTCAGGCTGGAAAAGTTTCAGAGACAAAATTGAGACCTTTATTTATGGCACACACCATTTTTGTGGTATATTAATTTTGAAGGAGTAAAAAGCTCCATGACTTAGTTTTGGAAAAAGAGGTAACTAGTGTGAAAAAAAAGAGTCTCAAAAAAAAAAAAATCTTTTTTTTTTTTTTTTTTTACAAATTATAGTCCTAATAACTAGATATTTTTCATTGGTTTACCAAACACCTTCAATTTCCAGAAAAAAACAAGCGGGCCTCATTTATCATTTTCAATAGCTACTAAATCAAACCATTTCTGTTACAAATCTTGGTAAAACAAGAGATACACTCAGAGTCTTCATTACTTCGCAATGATCCAGCAAACAACAGACTCATAAGGAATTCTTCAGCATCTCAGGGCCCAGTCTGAGGTATATAACTTTCTGAGGTTTGTTACAGTGAGAAGAGGAACAGCTTTCTTTTCCTAACAGATTTTTAACTTTGGTAGGGAGGAAAAAAAAAAAAAAAAAAAAAAAAAAAGCACAGTTTAGGCAACATTTCATATAAAAGTATACAAGATTGAGGACAAAGGGATGGCTTTTGGGTTCTTTCAGGAATATTTGGAAAATATTGGAATAAACAAATAAAGCCTTTCACCATCAACTGTGGCTGGTGTATATGTAAGCAGTCCCAGTCAAGGTCCAGGTCTATGAGTCTTGTAATTCTAAACTACACAAGTAGTTACTGTCATATAAACGAGATTATCTGTTTTGGATTTCATATTTTCTCAAAGTATATCACAAAATACTGATACACAGAAAATATGTATTCAAAATACTGAAGCACAAAAGAAAAAACAGGTATTACTACTAAGACCAGAATTTATTTCCATACTCCAGGTACAGCTGTGACCAATTGTATTCAAATCACATTTAATACGATTAACTCAATTTAGGGTTCAAACGTTGCTCTGATCTTTCTAAAGTGTTTTGAAACCTATCGAAGAGCATCAAGTAATGGAAATACTAAACACTAGGGAAAATAATGACAAGGTTGTGATAAAATCCCCATGGGAGACTTCCCCGTGACCACCAAGAACACTGCTGAGACTGCCTGAGGGGGTTCAAAGGCCTGGACTGCCCACTGCTCACCCACTTATCAGTGTTCAAAATCTGAAACATTTCAAACTGTGTTCTTGTTCCAAATCAGACCACATGCAGATATTTTCACGTCCTGTGAAAATTCTCCAAGTCCTCAGTCTTAGTTTTTCACTTAAAAACAAAACACATTATGTGTGCCATTTTATTTTTCTGTGCCCGATTCACAGAACCACAGAACATTTGAGGTTGGAAGGGACCTCTAGAGATCATCCAGTCCAACCCCCCTGCTCAAGCAGGGACACCCAGAGCACGGGGCACAGGGCAGCATCCAGGCGGGTTTGGAAGATCTCCAAAGAAGCAGTCTCCACAACCTCCCTGGGCAGCCTGTGCCAGGGCTCTGTCACTCTCACAGTAAAAAAGTTCTTCCTCAAATGGAGATGGAACTTGCCGTGTTTCAATTTCCATCCTTAGTTTCTGGAACATGCTGATGGGGATATTATGTCCATATGAAGAACCATTTCTCCACAGTTCYCAACACTTTCTTTCCTATTTTTGCCATTTGTTTTCCTGTATGCTTTGTATTCTCAAGTGGCCCCAAATATTTCTTTCTTCTAATCTTCCAAATTCTCACCACTTTAATCCTCATTGATATTGCTTGCTTGTAGCTCCCTTCCATGCTTGTATCCTCAGGGATTTATAATATGCCTGCTAACATTATGTGTTTCTGTGTTGCATTGGTATCCTGCCTGGTTTTAGCTCAAATATTTAGCAAATATTTGAAATGATCCTAAAGCTTTTTCCCATTACAAAAGAAGCTACTTGTTTTGTAATTCTTGTAATAAACTTGGGGATTCTTAGCTTCTATTTCTTTACACAGAGTCCTGTCTCCCAGGACACAGCAGGAGATATTTCATTGCTTATATCAGGGTCACATTATAAGTGTTTTTTTGACTTTTTGTTTTCCGCCTTTCTCTAGCTGACTCATTTTCACAGAGCKCATTCAAATCAATTCCCAGCTCCTGTGTTTGCAATCAGCTTTGTCTCTAGCCAGACATTACGCACATTTCAGCTTAACAAAGAGCCTTGTAATTGTTTCCTCTAACAGCTGCAGCAAAACGAGCTCAATACACCCTAGTAAAGTGAGGCGATTGCCTTTACATCAAAGGTATAGTTGCTTTGGGCCAGTGAACTTCTAGTACACCACAACCACCACATCCCTGTCCCACAGCCACTCTTTGCTCGGCTCTCTTCCTATCTTCTGTTCCGTCATGATTTTGTTTCCRCTCTCTTTTCAGCCCTCTCCCAGGGCAGCAATGAGACACGGCAGCCATGTATGCCCATGGAGCACATCTCGCTCTCTGCTCCGGAGCGCAGACGCTCTCCCGTGCCACAGGTGGCAAATTGGGGACCAGAGGGACGTTTGGAGATAAAAGTAATATAAAAGAAATTAAGAAATCATTTAACTATGCTGTCAGAGTGAGATGACAGACACTAAAATTACACACCAGTTTATAAGTTCCTGTCTAAACCACTTGGCTTCAACAGTCCTCATTTCTTTCACCATCCCAATTCCCTTTCAGCAGAAGGAGACGGCCCTGGCGGCTTCCCAGAGGAAAAGTTGCCCGGGAAGTTGCAGTTCTGCTACGAGCAGAGCCTCCTTGGCCGCCAGACTGTTTGGGAAGCAGCGCAGCCCAGCGCTGCTAACCAGACCACAGCGCAGAAAGGTACAACCAGGGCAAGTCTGGGCAGCCCTGGCACCTGCTGAGCAAAACAACCCATTTGCCACTAAGTGCTCGACCAGGGGGGCACGGACCACAATGACATAACAGAATGGAAATGGAATTCTGATTTTTCAGCCTCAACGCAGGCTTTATTTGCAGCTCTTTGGCCGCCTTTGTGCAAGCAACCCTAACCGCCCAGCAGGGGCCAGGCCGCCATCTTCTCCCTGCGGGGCGGGGCGTGACGGCGCGCTGCCCTCCCGCCCGCAGGGGGCGCCCCCCGGCGCGCCGCCGCCCTCCGCGCAGGCGCGCCGCGCCGTGCGGAAGCAGAAGCGGAAGCGGCCGGCGCAGCGAGAGCCGTTGTGGCTGTTGGTGAGCCGGTGCTTGCCTCGCCCTTGGCGCCATGGCAGCCTTGGCGCTCCCTCCGTTGCCACCGCAGTTCAAGAGCATCCAGCATCATTTACGAACCGCGCAAGAACTGGACAAGCGCGAGCCGGTCGTGGCGTATTACTGTGAGTGAGGCGGCCGCAGCGCAGCCCCGCCTCGCCGGCCCGTCGTGGGTCTCCGCGGGCGCCGCCAGCCCCGCCGCGGCCTCAGCGCCTCCCCGCTCCCGCGCGGGGTGTTGGGTTGCGCCGGGCGCCCCTCCGGTGTAGCGAGGAGAGGGGGAGGCGCCAGCCCTGGGCTCCCCGACCCTCCTCGTGAGCCGCCTCGCCTGCGAGCCCAAGGGCCGTTCTGTGCGGCGTTAAGCCCSTTAGGGCTTGGGGCGAGTGTGCCGACCTCCTGAGTGTACGAGTGGCGCACACAGATCTGTGAAAGCAGGCTTCTCTGCACTGACAGTGGTCATAAGTATTGCTAAAAAATAACAGTCGAGATGCTTCTCAGGCTTTTCGCCGAMTGCAAAGTCTTTCTTATCACAGGAACTAGTTTTGGTTTGGGTGACTTTAATCCTTTTAATGATGTTCAGTTTATCCCCTCTTAAGCCAGCCTTTTCACCTCTGTATTCTTTGAGTTGGTTGGTAGGTGAGTTGTGCTGTTTGTGTTGGTTTTGCTGTGTTCGTTTTGATGAAAAAGCCTGCCGTAGTATAAATCTTTAAAACTAATTCATAGCTTCCAAACAGGCAACTGTCAGGGTGCAGTCTCTGAGCCTTTCTATAGGATTACCAGAGCTGCTTAAGAAATACAAATTGTCCTAAATTCTTGACACTGTTCATCACGATGCTTGGAAAACTTGGAAGATTACCTGGCTGTAAATAGTTACAAACTATTATATATGATTACTATTAAATATATGCATGTATATATTTTGAGATAGCAGGTCATTCTTGAGGTTTACTTTGTAACAGCCTGTTTTCAAAAAAAGATTAAATGGGGAAAAAAAAGACTTATAGCTGATAGTTTAATTTGTCTTAACAAAATCGAATTCATGGAATTCGGGCTTCGTAAAGCTGTAAACATAGCTCAGAAGAAATTCATAGCATATCAGAAGTCAGAAGAAATTTTAGTATGTTGTATGTAAACAGTGTGCTGATATGCAAAAGTATCACCAAGAAACAAAACAGCTAAATAGAAAATTTGATGTAATGTCTTCTTTTTTTTCCTTTGTTTTCTTCTGCAGAAAAACATAAGACAAAGGCCGCTTTGTGTGACAGGAAGCACTAGCTGTCTCAAAATACTATATATATGTGTGTGTGTGTGTGTGTGTATATATATATGTATATACACACTTATACATACATATAAAATATGTGTGTGTATATATATGATATTTTAAGATATTATATATGTATATATATATTAAATAGGCATGATACCATGTATAATTACTAAAAAAAGCCCTAGCATTTAGTTTAAGTAAATAGAATTTTTTTTTTTATTTTAATTTGAAGCAGAAATGTCTTGGTAGCTGATCCCTGTTTTYCTTTCACTTTTAAATTTAATAGGAGTCTTACTGAACAGAAAAAAAAACTAATGTTATTGAATCCTTAATTAGTGTTATCTGTTAGGTCCTTTGCGTTGTCTTTAAGTGGTTAGAAAATATATATATCCTGTGTTTATTATTCTTCTTGAGTACTTCCACACATCTGTCTAGCTGAAAACCATATTCTAGTGATATCCTTCTCGGTACATTACTGTTTAAAGTGAAAAGCAGTGACACCATTCTTCAAAACAAGATGCATAAATCCTTTGTCCTTTTAGATATGCAATGGATAAGAATTGGTGACATCATTTCAGAACACTATCTGCTGTCTCTGTTTTATCTACATCTGTTTTACACTAGTGACACCTAGTTACTCCTTAGGTTGTGGTATGTCAAATAAGATGAAGAAGTTCTGTTTCGTAAGAGGACAATTATTTGAAAATTGTGTGTGAAGCAAAAAAGGGTCTTATGGGCATTAATTTCAAATATTGTTTTGAAGCAGTTGTTTGGAATCCCAAATTAGTGATCTTTAATATTACTATTGCCAAAGCACGTATAATATATAGTTGAATGTGTGGCATTCTATGAATAGCAGCTTCCTTTAAAAGTAGATTGTATCATTTTAAGTGAAGGTATATAAAAAGGCTTGAGAATATTTTTCAGATAATATTTTCTCAGCAACACAGATATTACGTAGAATTAAAGGAAAACACCATTTCTCCTAAATAGAGTGTTTCCACCTAAAAACATCCTATTGAGCCTTTGAAATGAGTTTCATAAAAGCTTTGAACCAGCAGCTCACCTCTGCTCTCTGCTTTGCACATGTATGCCTGGAAGTGCGTGTGCGACACAACCAAAACAATGGGGTCTTCAGCAGTGAGAGAAGGGGTCCACACAGGTCATGTGCTGGGATGTTCTTGTATGTTCTCTCTCAAGACACCTCACGCATGGTGGTGAATATCTTTATTTTCGTCGTGCAGGGATGTATCAATCCCAAAATAAGAATGCCTGAATTCTGGAATTCTRTGTGACTTTGGAATGTTGCCAGAAGTGGCCCATCCTTAGCTGTATGATTGGCTCTTTATATTAGTGTCTTAGTTATACAGTGAGTTCAGTATGGACATACATTGACTAGGGTCTTCATTTGTATATTAGTTTAGTTCTATTTGTATATTTCTGACAATAAGAGCAACTTCTGAAATACTGCAAATAAGTAAATTCTGGCAAGGCTTATTTGCAACCTCAAAATCTAAAGGTGCTTTTTAAAATCTATCACTTGCTTTAGCTTAGCAGTGAAGCTGTCAAGAGTAACCACTTACTGCTCTTGTTTATTTTGTCTCTCTYCAGCATCTACTGATGTCAGAGATGTATAATCATCATTCAAATTTCAAATTCTCAGCACATATTTTATTTACATATACTGTTTTAAACTTTTGCTTACTTTTTGGCTATAGTTCATTGGGAGTATTAARCTAGTGTAAAACAGTGCCCAAAAAAGATATTGTAGTCCTTCAATCTTTTCTTCTCAACAATAATCTGTTCCAAAGCAAACACTGACTTAACCTTATGATCACAACAACAAATCCTTTTTTTAGTCAGACCAGCTCCCTATTTTGAACAGCTGTGTTCATGCAAAGACATAGAAAAGGAACCAGATGCTATGGCTTGGGGGGAAAGCAGGACTACTAATTTTTTTTAGTATTGCTTGTTTATGTTTATAAGAAACTATAATTTGCTAAACATTAATCTCTACCTTACAAAATAAGACTATCTGCAAAAGGGATTGTTTGTATTTGTTTGCTGGAGTAGCTCGTTCTGTACATCATTTCCATGCCTCTTGAAGACAAGAAGGTGATCAGCCATAGCATGAATTCACAAAGGGAGAATCATGCAAAATGAATCTAATGGCCTTCTATAATGGAATTGCTGTCTGACAGATGAGGGTACAGCAGTGGATGTTGAGATCTTGACTTGGAGAAGGCTTTTGCTACTGTTTCCCATAGCATCCTCATAGGCAAGCCCAGGAAGTGCAGGCTGGATGAGTAGAAAGTAAGGTGAAAGTAAGGCGCAAAGACTTGGTGGCATTTAGTTCGTGTAACTAGTGGTGTCCTTCAGAGGTCAATAYTGGGGCCAATCCTGTGCAACTTGTTCCTCGGTGACCCGGATGCAGAGTGCATTTGTGCACAGTGCACCCCAACAAGTTTGCTGAATGAAGCTGGGAGGTGTGGCTGATTCCTCAGAAGGTCTGTGCTGCCATCCAGAGGGACCTGGGGAAATGGGCAGAGAAGAATCTGCTGAAGTTCAGCAAAGGCAAGTGCAGGGTCCTGCACTGAAGGTACAGTAACTCCGATCCCAGCATGGGCTTAGTGCTGACCTGCTGGAAAGCAGCTCTATAGAGAAAGACCTAGGAGTTTTGGTGGACAAGGTGACCGTGAGCCAGCAATGTGCTCTTATTGTCAGTCGCAATGCCAGAGGTGTTCTGGATTGCATCGGGAAGAGCATTGCCAGCAGGTTAAGGGAGATGATCCTCCCCCTCAGTCTTGCTGAGGCTGCATCTGGAGTACCGTGTGCAATTCTGAACTCAGTGCAAGAGACACATAGCACTCCTGGAACAAGTGCAAGGAAGGTTTACTAAGATGATGAAGAGCCTGGACAATGTCTCCTGTGAGGAAATGCCAAGAGAGCTGGACCTGTTAAGCCTGGAGAAGAGAATATTGATGGGGGAGGTGTGGGCAGATATTTCTTTTCACTATGTAGGAGTACCTGCAGGAAGGCTTTAAAGAGGATGATTCCAGATTCTCGGTCATGGTCAGTGATAGGACAAAAGGCAACCGACTCATGCTGAAACACATTAAGTTCTGACTGAATATAAGATCAGACTTTCTTGCTGTGAGAGTGCCATAGTACTGGCACATGATTCCCAGAGAGACTGTAAAGTCTCCACTCTTGGAGATGTTAAACAGCTGCCTTGCTAGGGTCCTGGGCAGTGTGCTATAGGTGACCCTGCTTGAACAGGGTGGAGGGGCAGGGAGTTGAACTGCATGATCTCCAGAGGTCCCTTCCAAACTCAAACATACAGTCATTCTATATTTTTTGACTGCCACACAATTATCCACGTGATACAAAGAATATTGTTTAGGAGAACATTGATGCTGCTGTGCTGCATAACATATCATAGTTGCTTTACRTTGTAGTATGTGCTGATTCTTACCAGCCCTTTGTGCTTATTCCTTTTTTAGAGACTCACAACAGCATATGATCAGTGGCTTTATACACTGCTGGAAAACTGTTACTTCCTTTTAGTCCTAGATACTGTTAGTAGTGTACATTATTGACAGAAAGAATATTTGGCTTTTGACAGCAAAATGTATCATAAATATACCTGATTTCAAAGACTTACTACTTTTTAGATTGTGCAGATTGTATGGAAATCAAGGAAACAAGTTTGTTTATTGAGCCGTACAAACATGATCCATCTGGCTCAAATGAACAGCAGACAGCTATTTTGGAGAAAGATAAATGTACTTTACAGATAATGAAGTGTTCGCAGTTGTTGCAATCTAAAACAATCACTATGTTTAGAAGGCTTGGTTA